ATATCATTATTCCTTATCTCCATATGCAGCAAAACATTGAACCTAATAGAGCTATGATCACTTGCACCCAGGCGTTCCCCCAGTTTTCACTCTCTCAATCATTTCTGTATTTGAAGTTGACAATAAATCTAAAATAGTATTATTTCTAGTTGTTCCTTGACTAATTGGTGAAGAAAGCCATTTTGAACAATTTCCAGAAATGTTTCTCCCTCACAGTTTGACTCTAGAATTTCTCAATCTATATATCTGAAATTAAAATCACCCATAATTATGACTTCATTAACAGCTGAAATCTTAATCTCATTGTAGAGTTTCTCACTAATTTCATCAGTATTATTTGGTAGTCTGTAACAAATTTTCACTAAAAGCCTTTCCCTTTATATCCACTAATAGAAACCCAAATGGATTCAATCTTCTTGCTACTATCTTTGATATCCTTAACTTCAAGAGGATGTAACTCAAATTTTGCATGTAAAGGTACTCCTCCCTCTCTTTAATACTCTATCCCTATTAAATAGTCTGTAACCCTGTATTTCAAAGAAAATTCTGTCATCAAAATCATCTACATTAACCATGTTTCAGTTATTCCCATTATATCAAAATCTTCCATTGCTACCAGTGCTTTAAAGTCATCTATTTTATTTCTTATACTTCTAGCATTACAATAGTAACAATTAAGCCTATCCTTATAACTACGTCTATACCCATTTCCTATGTTAAACTTTTCTCTGCCTTTTATTATTTTTGCACTTAGTTTTCCTGACCCTCCCCACTGTCTAGTCCTAGTTTAAAACTTCCCTTGCAGCCGAATTAATAGTTTTAGCAAATAAGCCAGCCTCTACCCCTATTTAAATGTAAACTATCCATACCAAAAAGCTCCCTTCCTCCACTAAACTGATCCAACAAATCCAACCAGCCAATCTGGTCATCCTTATATACTAACCAAGCCTAGCAGTTAGCCCTATTGACCTACTTATAACTTCATCCCCACAGTTAATTCTGGGCAGTATCCCTGACAAAATTAAGCTATGGTCTGTTTCTTTAAATGCCGCCCCCCAGTGGCACAGCGGTATGTCTGCAAACTTACAACGCTAGAAACCGGGTTTTGACACCCATGGTGGGCAGAGTACAGATAGCCCATTGTGTAGCTTTGTGCTTAATTAGAAACAAACAAATTTTAAATGCATTCATCAACTCTTTGTACTTATTAATTAACTTCTCTGACCTACCTTTCTCTACATCATTAGCCCCCGGGGCCTGGCATGGCCAGGTGGTTAGGGCGCTCGACTCGCAATCTGAGGGTCGCGGATTCAAATCCCCGTCACACCAAACATGCTCGCCTTTTCAGTCGTGGGGGCGTTATAATGTGACGGTGAATCCCACTATTCGTTGTTAAAAAAGTAGCCCAAGATTTGGCGGTGGGTAGTGATGATTAGCTGCCTTCCCTCTAGTCTTACACTGCTAAATTAGGGACGACTAGCGCAGATAGCCCTCGTGTAGCTTTGCGCGAAATTGAAAACAAAGAAACAAATATTAGCCCCTACATGAACCACAAAAACTGCATCTCTGCTAGCCCTCTTTACTAGACGAAATAAATTGGGATAAATTAACAACTTTATGCTTAAAGAACCATTTCTTGAACTATCGTTTTCAAGCTTTGGCCATAGCATTTGGAATAAATGTATCAGAAAAATGCCTAAGCCTTTTCTCTCTACTTTCACGGATTCATCTTCTTCCTACTGCACTTCTCATCCTGAAGTAAGTCGTTTATAATATTTTTGTGGTAAGAGATGACTTATGTTATTTTATCGAAAAGTGGAAACTTTTACCATATTTCAACTATGTTGTCCTTGAGTTTCACTCATTTAAGTAATTCAGTTCTTCATAAAGATGAAATATTTGAATTTTTTTACAACATCTGTTAGAGCTTAATAATTTTCTTTGATTGTCATTTTTTAATAGTATGCGTAAACTTTGATACTATCTGTCCATTTTGATGGTATCCGTCGTCTACGTATAATCAGTTTAGGCTTAGAAAACTCGTAAGTTGTTCCTGGAAATTCCTCACTTAGAAATCTGAAAATCTTTAACGCTCCCCCTCTCCCCCAGTAGATCATTAGTAAATGTGCAGGTCTACAATGCTCAAAATCGGGTTTCGATGCCTGCATTTGGGCAGAGCACAGATAACCCATTGTGTATTTTGTGTCTAACAAACCGTTAACAATTTTTGTACATTAAAATCACAGATAAAAAGAAAAAGTTAGTTAATCTGTCTGTGGATTGACCATTATATTTTATAATGAAATCATTTCATTTCCACACCAAAAAAAAAAAGGAAAAAATAAATAAAACGTCAAAAAAATCTCTATTTGTTGCCTCTAGTTATTGCAAAACATTGAAGATAAGGCTTGAAAAGTAGCTGAAAAGACAATCCAGACAAATATAATGTTAATATTTCGTAGCTTATTATAATTATTATTATTTTGATTTAAGTATATTTAGAGAATAAGAGAACTAACAGCATTCAGTTTTTCCAACTTATTCTCATTAAACAGGTCCGGCATGGAAAGGTGGTTAGGGCGCTTGACTCGCAATCTGAGGGTCGCGGATTCGAATCCCCGTCACACCAAACATACTCGCCCTTTCAGCCGTGAGGGCGATATAACGTTACGATAAATCCCACTATTCGTTAGTAAAAGAGTTGGCGGTGGGTGGTGATGACTAGCTGCCTTCCCTCTAGTCTTACACTACTAAATTAGGGACGGCTAGTGCAGATAGCCCTCGTGTAGCTTTGCGCGAAATTCAAAACAAACAAACAAACAAACTCATTAAACATTTTTAAAGAGTCTAACTTAGAGATATAGAAACATAATCTAAATGTTATAAATAAAGGTTTTTTCCCACAAGTGTACAAATAAGTATTTCACATATTTGATACAATATTATCTAAATGTTAATAATTAAGTAGTGCGGATTTCAACATTCGTTTCACTAGATGTGTAAATGTATTGTGTTTGAAGTAACTAAACATTAAATCGTATTTTTAACGATGGGCACTATTGGGAGAAAAAAATAATTCAACGAATAAAGAAATATATCTTATTAAGCAAAATGGGATCTGATCGCTAGATGTTTTTGCAAAATGAAGTCCATACCTATCAATCAATCATCAATCTATTAGTTCAATAAGTGCAGGTTAATCTAAGATTCAAACTTTAGGCAACTTCGTCTGTTAACTTAACAAGTGTAGGATAATCCGAGGTTCGTATCTTAGACAATTTCATCTGTAAACTTAACACGTGCAGAATAGTTTAAGTTTCATATTTTTGGACAATTGAATAAGACTCGCTCTGTTAATTAAAATTTATATTTGTAGAAAATGTTCAAGTATCTACTCGTAAAATGTAGGCCTAATTAAAGTTTCGTATATCCCAAATGGCAGCAAGTTTTACACCCATGAAATGCGTAATTACTTCAAATATTTAACTGCTAGCCCATCTGAAGTTCTTTCTCAAACAGTTCCTTCATTTTCAGACAATTTGTGTTTTATCTTATCTAGACGCTTCCAGAAAACCACGCATTACTACCTAACCCTCGTTGAGATTAATATTTGTAGATAATCTTTAAGTTCGTACCCAGGATTTTCTGAGAAAGCTAAGTTTATAAATTATAGCATGTGAAGTACCTCTTCAGCATGTTCAGGTCTTAGCTAAGTTTGAATAACCAGGCAGAGAAAGTTTGAAAAGTTGGTCTATTCAAGTTACACATTTTCGCAAACTTCCCCATTTTAGTTGATTTCAGCGTCGGCAGGAGCTGACTAATGCATAGTTCACACTTTATTAGAAAATCTCAGCTGGTCAGTCAACGGTAGTATTCCCATCACTAAAATGTGTCTTCCAGAAAATCTCCATGTAACAGTTTTGCAAATACATTTCATAAGATTTACAGTACAAAGACCGATTCATACACTGTGAATCATATAGCCTGAATCTTACAGGTCAGGGTCAATGGGCCTTTATTAACTTGTACGGAAAATACAATTCAAACTATTATTATATTTTAGCTTAAATGGTAAATTAAAGGTTCGAGACACACACAAGAAGAACCATATTTCTATACAATGCATATTACATTAGTTATCAGTATGTTAATAAATTAAAAATAAAAACATCTCACATCCGCTAATAGAGTGGCTTCTGTCTTGAGTCAAACAACCTGGAAAAATAAACAAAACTGACAGCAGCAACACCGTCCACATCGTCAGCGACCTCTGGTGAGGAGCCTTAAAGATAAAATTCAACAAAGTAGTGTAACTTAACCAGTAAAATATGGTTTAATTCTATTCATTTGACAATTCAACCTGATAAGCTTACCTCGTTAGCACTGTATAATAGCCATTTAATACCAAATGTTTAAGGTTATCATAAGTTGTAAAAAAAAAAAACAAAGTGAAGGCAAGAATCATGGGTTTAAAAGAGTTAATCTAATACTTATGGGCAATTATATCATAGTATTTAACATAATTAGTTTAATACTAGTGTTTTTTGTTCTGTGAACATTTAGCTGGAATTCGTTACTTACTAGATTAGACAAACGTTTTTATGTGATTTTGTAATTTATAATATTAAATTCAAAGAATTCAATACGTATTATTAGCTACAGTGTTTACTACATTTAACATGTAACATTCAATTTCTTAAATAGTAATAACTACATTGGCCAAATGTGATAGGCATGGAATATGAAGCTTTACGTCTGACAATTCTGTTTTGATGTTTGGTAATCTCCCTAAGTAGGCCAAACCTTATCAGGCGTTCTTGGGTTGAGGACCGAAAACACCGCTAACAACGAGAGTACCTAACTGATGACCTAGGTCCGAATGGTCATGGCAACTTTTTTTGTAGTTTGCCTGTTACTAATAATTTAGATTATTTATTATTTAAAGCCATTATTATTGTAGAATTTTAGCAGATCTTCTAGAAGAAGTTATTATATAATCGTTAAAATATATGCACAGTATAATCAACGATTTATTAAAACATGCGTAATAGATAGGCCAATGTCGTCGCAATGTATTAGTGAAGGTTATGCTTAAGAGTGTCATTATATTACCATTGGATTATTAAATGCGACGATTACAAGAGTTGGTTTAAAATTAATTGTTTAATATCTAATATTCTTTAAACATTCAATTTAATGTCATGATGTAATTACACGTTAGAGTTAAGAAACTCGGTTTCCCAATCCCAACGTGTTTATAGGCTTAAGAGTTCACATTTACCACCAATGGATTATTTAATGCTACAGGCATATTCAGTTTATTATTCGGAACTTTAGGATTTCTACTATTTCAGGCTTTTTTTTTTTATGTGTGAAAACTTTGTCGTTGATTGGACAAGAAAATCAGAACATATCTTTGATTAGAGAATATACTTAGAACTTAACGTTGATTGGAAAAAAAACCCAGAACTTGTATTTGATTGGACAAGAAGCTCAGAACTTGTTGTTAATTAGAGAATAAACTTAGAACTTAACGTTGATTAGACAAGAAGCTCAGAAATTATCGTTAATTAGAGAATATACTGTACTTAGAACTTAACGTTGATTGGACAAGAAACTCAGAACTTAATGTTGTTTGGACAAGAAACTCAGAACTTATCGTTAATTAGAGAATATACTTAGAACTTAACGTTAATTGGACAAGAAACTCAGAACTTATCGTTAATTAGAGAATATACTTAGAACTTAACGTTGATTGGACAAGAAATTCAGAACTTATCGTTGAATGAACAAAAACTAAAGCTTAATGCCTGGAATGTTTAGCGACTGGAAAATGTAATAAATAAGTTTCTGGTACTGAATAGATTTGAATGAAAGAAAAAGCGGTAAATAAGCAACCAAAGAGAGTTGAATTATGATAAAATATTACTAAAAAACTTATACACTATTTCTAACTTAAAGTTTACTCATTTGTTTCAGATGGAGCAATAGTAAAAATTTTGTGCTTGTAAAGTTTGGTATCCTCAATTGGGTTGGAGAATAAGGACCTCCTTGTTTGAGATGGAATAATAGATGGTTTTAACTTTTAAATTAGTTTTAAAAGTACATTTGTGCCTTAGAACTTCACTATAAACAAATTAGAAACTAATTTTATTTAATTAATTTTTTATCATAAACTAGGATAGACCATCAAAGATGATAATTAAATGATGTTTCCCACCGAATTTCGGATAAGATAGTTATAAACACGAGTTTGATTGGACAAATTTTCAGGCTTGTTTGATTTGCTCCTATTTTAGATGTGCCCAAATTAATCACAAATATAAATAAGTAAAAGTTTAATAAAGTAATTAAGGTGATTACCTCTACTGGACAATGTTTTTGAGAATTTTCTTACTTGCTCCTGTCTTAGATGTGTCTAAATTAAACACAAACTGTTATAACGCCAAGTCACATTTAAATTGATTCACTGTCTCGTCTGGATACGTTATTGAGTCTATCAGGATTAAAAACTAACGTTTCTCGTAAATAGCTTTTATTTAATTTTTGTTGTCTTCTTTTTATGATGCGCAACGGAAGAGAAAGTTAAATTTCGTAGTCAATCAAACACGGGCTCGAAACTGGTATTCCTGTGTTAACTACTTCTGTAAAAATCAGAAACGATGTAAACTGTTTCTTTGTTGTTGTTTTTTAATCCAGTTATACGGGAAATAGCGACAAACGTGAGATATAATATGGTTCATGAATGAAACGCGAAACTTGGTAAATCACGATGTTTGCAGACAATGGTGTTGTTCTCGCTTAAATATGGGCACTTTACGTGCGTAAACCGAGCTGCATATTCAGCCTAACTCCGGAGCAACCACTGTTAGTTAGTAAAAGTGGCTCACGAGAGTAGCTTTTCAGTTTTCATTAATTGACTCAAAAAGAAAATTCACAGTATTGAAATGTTAATAATGCCTGAAAACCTAAATATATTTATTGTAAAGAATATTATTCAACTTTTAACTATTCAACTTACCTCTCATATAGAGTATTGTTCGATTAAGAACTGCTTACCGCGCTATCGACAGGCCAGTAACTATATAGACAAACTAATGGACACAGTACACAACTGACGTACTCTAAACTTGGACAACAAAAAGATAACTTATATAAACAGGTAACTTGACGTCCATCATTACTTGAAATACACGCTCTATCAACAGTGGTATGAAGAGCACATGCGCATCTACTCTCGTGCAAAGTCCTTGGTCAACCTAGAAGTTGTGTTTATTTTTAAGTAGTGTTTGTTACTGATAGGTCTATAGCCTGGGTCGATAGCAGTACCAAATATTATGATGCCAAAGAAAGATACTGAAAGAAAGTCCATAATCATGTTTATTTTCATGCAAGAATGATCAGGTTAAACACGTTATAAAGAAGAGAAGGTTTTACAAAAAATTTCAGAATGTTTCTGCTTACAAGTTACAATAATTGGTTAAAAGTGAATTGTTCTCACCGGCTCGTCTCTTCAAGTTCTTAAATATTCAAATATTTAGATGTGGTCACGTGGTATAGTTTTAAGGACACATGAAATAAATATTTACCTCAGTTCTGAAATTACAATAAGTCTTTATGTACTGTCTCAGTATCTATACGACCTATGGTGTTAGGTGTTGTCTCAGTACCTATACCAACTGTAGTGTTAGTTGTTGATTCAGTATCCATACTAACTATGGTGCAAAGTATTGTCTCAGTATCCATACCAAATATAGTGTTAGGTGTTGTCTCAGTATCCATTCAAACTATGGTGTGAGTTGTTGATTCAGTATCCATACTAACTATGGTGCAAGTTATTGTCTCGGTATCCATACCACATATGGTGTTAGGTTTTGCCTCAGCACCCATACCAACTACTCAGTACCCATATCAACTAATGTGTAAAGTATAGTAGCAGTATCTATACCACCTATTGTGTTAGGTTATGTCTCAGTACCAATACCAACTGCTGTGTTAGGTGTTGTCTTAGTACCAATACCACCTATTGTATTAGGTTATGTCTCAGTACCAATACCAACTACTGTATTAGGTGTTGCCTCAGTACCCATACCAACTATTGTGTTAGGTGTTGTCTCAGTACCCATGCCAACTATTTTGTTAGGTGTTGTCTCAGTACCAATACCACCCTACTGTGTTAGGTGTTGTCTCAGTACCCATACCAACTATTGTGTTAGGTGTTGTCTCAGTACCCATACCAACTATTGTGTTAGGTTATGTCTCAGTATCCATAACACTTATTGTGTTAGGTTATGTCTCAGTACCAATACCACCCTACTGTGTTAGGTGTTGTCTCAGTACCCATACCAACTATTGTGTTAGGTTATGTCTCAGTACCCATACCAACTATTGTGTTAGGTTATGTGTCAGTACCCATACCACCTATTGTGTTAGGTTATGTCTCAGTACCCATACCACCTATTGTGTTAAGTTATGTCTCAGTACCAATACCAACTACTGTGTTAGGTGTTGTCTCAGTACCCACACCACCTACTATGTTAGGTTATGTCACAGTACCATTACAAATTACTGTGTTAGGTGCTGTCTCAGTACCCATACCAACTATTTTGTTAGGTGTTGTCTCAGTACCCATACCAACTATTTTGTTAGGTGTTGTCTCAGTACCCATACCAACTATTTTGTTAAGTGTTGTTTCAGTACCCATACCAACTATTTTGTTAGGTGTTGTCTCAGTACCCATACCAACTATTGTGTTAGGTGTTGTCTCAGTACCCATACCAACTATGGTTGAATTCGTTTAGCGAGTGTATAAAAGAAACATTTTGTTTGGTTTCATATTTCAGAGATGTGAATATTTATGGTAAACGGAAAGATGATACACATCGATTGGATAACAACAGTTGATACGTGATACACACCGATTATGTTGCTGTGGATACATGTTACGTACCGATTACGTTAGTCTAGAGATGATTCGTCTACACTTTCTGTTGTGGCTCCATGGCATTGATAATTGTTAACATTACACCAAAAAGATAGCCAACATAGTATTGTTTCACACAAGGTAACCAGAAACCAACCAGAAAGAGATTCTCGAGAACGTACGTAACAAAAAGATATGTGATTTGCATTAGATATATGTAAAATTATCCTGATATAAACTTGGTTTGACAGACAATACGAATCACTCACGTGATTTTAAATAAGCAAATAAATTTGTGTTATTCTCCTCCATCCTAATAACAGTTGTTATAACGGTAAATGAAGGTGGTATATCATGCATTATGGACACTTTATCGTACGGAATCAATGACAAGAAGCCCAATAACTTTATGTCGATACCTATACATCCAATAGAGTTAATACTGACCTCAAGTCGGTGATTTTGTCGATAACTATACAACTTATAGAGTTAATACTGACCTTAAGTTGAAGCTTATGTTGATACCTATACATCCAATAGAGTTAATACTGACCTTAAGTTGAAACTTATGTCGATACCTATACACCCTATAGAATTAACATTGACCTTAAGTCAAATGTTATGTCGATAACTATACACCCTATAGAGTTAATATTAACCTCAAGTCAAATGTTATGTTGATAACTATACATCCAATAGAGTTAATACTGACCTCAAGTCGGTGATTTTGTCGATAACTATACAACTTATAGAGTTAATACTGACCTTAAGTTGAAGCTTATGTCGATACCTATATACCCTATAGAGTTAATATTGACCTCAAGTCAAAACTTATGTCGATAACTATACACCCTATAAAGTTAATATTGACCTCAAGTCAAAGCTTATGTCGATAACTATACACCCTATAGAGTCAATATTGACCTCAAGTCAAAGCTTATGTCGAGAACTGTACGTCCTATAGTGTTAGTAATGACCTCGTGTCGAAGGTTTTTGTAAATTACTATACATCATATAGAGTTAATACCGACCATGAGTTGAAGCTTTTACCGATAATAGTATACTCTACAAAGTTAAAATTGACCACGAATCAAAGCTTGAATTGATAACTTAACACAGGATAAAGTAGGTTTCTTTAAAACGTTGCTGTATAAGTGAATCAGCAAGTCATGTAACAGTCACTGAAATAAGTTGTCCCAGTGTAACAAAACTTATAAGAACTAATGGTTGTTGAAACGGTTATGTAACAGCCCTTTCCCATGCTAAATATTCATAAACTCATATTCATATAGGGAATTGATAATTTTAAGATGGCTATATCTCCTGTACTTAATGGCATTGGAAAACGAAGGAATATGAATAAACTTGGGAAACAGAACCATCCAGAAAGAGACTCGGAACAGAATCATCTAAAAAGATAAATGCAACAGAACCATTCAGAAAGAGAAATGCAACAGAACCATCCAGAAACAGATTTGCAGCAGAACCATTCAGAAAGAGACTTGCAATAGAACCATTCAAAAAGAGACTTGCAACAGAACCATCTAGAAAGAGACGTGCAGCAGAACCATCCAGAAAGAAATCTACAACAGCACCATCCAGAAAGAGATCTGGAACATATTGTACTCTGCTCGTAGCAAAGTGTGGCGTCTTGTATCAGAATAGATACAGACGTAAAGATCAATGTCAAAAGCAGTCCACGTGCTCCAGACTGCAGTATCCGACATAATCTACAAGGATGGCCGTCTGGAAAAGCGACACTTGTACACAAGCTGCTCCCTCAACATATCTGTTCAAGTTTCTGAAATACGAAACGTGTATTCATGCTGTTTCATACTGACGTAAAGCCTTTGGATTTCTGTGCTTTCGAACTGTTGAAACTAGCGTTGAGAAATTGTCCTTTTCGTACACTAGATGGCTTATGGAACACAAACATGGAGTAGTGATACGCGTTTGAAATGACAGCCTTACGTAGGAGCCTTTCGCAATGCAAACTACACTGCAGGGCTAATGTCCAAACGCATGGGTGTCAGACAGAACATGAACGGACGTTGCAACATGGCCGGTAACGACATGGTGAGGCTAAAATATCGTTTCAATATAATTTACTTATTTAATGGAATTAACACTGAACACGGGTCCAACGTTTTGTCGTAATGTTGAGAAAATATACAAGTGAAATTATTATTCCACACAGAATAGTACTTTGTACATTTTCCCTCTTTTTAAGAGGGATGTTATGACGTCAACGAGGACCATGAACATCAGTAATTTGAATAAAGATCTTTAAAAAAATAAAGTAAAATGTTTCTTGGGGATTTTGAGAAAAAAAAACACTTATTACATTTTGGTTGTTGTTAAGCGCAAAAGGCTATCTGTGTTCTGTCTTCTACGGGTATTGAAACCTGATTATTAGCGTCGTAAGCCTGCAATTTTATCGCAATTAAAATTTTCGTGTACTATCCTTATTAGCATGAAGGATGCATCAGTCTTCCACATACATTGAATTTAGGTTCACCATCAAAATTCAGTCCAATTACTGGTTAAATAATAGGCATTTCATAACTAGGCTTATGACACTAAAAACCTATTTCAATAACAGATAGCCCAATGTGTAACTCTGTGTTTAGCTACAGACAAGTAAGCAAGCATTTCATAGTTAACGACGAACAAAGTCATTACATTTTCTTCACCAACAGTTAATATGGTTACTAGTTATACTTTACTAACAGTTCATATGGTTCCTAGTTATACTTTACTAACAGTTCATATGGTTACTAGTTATACTTCACCAATAGTTAATATGGCTACTACTTATACTTCACCAACAGTTAATATGGTTACTAGTTATACTTCACTAACAGTTCATATGGTTACTACTTATACTTAACCAACATTTAATATTTTTACTGGTTATACTTCACTAACAGTTCATATGGTTACTACTTATACTTCACCAACATTTAATATTTTTACTGGTTATATTTCACTAACAGTTAATATGGTTACTAGTTATACTTCACTAACAGTTCATATGGTTACTACTTATACTTCACCAACATTTAATATTTTTACTGGTTATATTTCACTAACAGTTAATATGGTTACTAGTTATACTTCACTAACAGTTCATATGGTTACTACTTATACTTCACCAACATTTAATATTTTTACTGGTTATACTTCACTAACAGTTCATATGGTTACTACTTATACTTCACCAACATTTGATATTTTTACTGGTTATACTTCATTAACAGTTAATATGGTTACTAGTTATACTTCACCAACATTTAATATTTTTACTGGTTATACTTCACTAACAGTTAATATGGTTACTAGTTATACTTCACCAACATTTAATATTGTTACTGGTTATACTTCACTAACAGTTAATATGGTTATTAGTTATACTTCACCAACATTTAATATTGTTACTGGTTATACTTCACTAACAGTTAATATGGTTACTGGTTGTTCTTTATTGACAGTTCATGTTGTTACTGGTTGTTCTTTATTGACAGTTCATATTGTTACTGGTTGTTCTTTATTGACAGTTCATATTGTTACTGGTTGTTCTTTATTGACAGTTAATATTGTTACTGGTTGTTCTTTATTGACAGTTCCTGTTGTTACTGGTTGTTCTTTATTGATAGTTCGTATTGTTACTGGTTGTTCTTTATTGAAAGTTCGTATTGTTACTGGTTGTTCTTTATTGATAGTTCGTATTGTTACTGGTTGTTCTTTATTGACAGTTCAAATTGTTACTGGTTGTTCTTTATTGACAGTTCCTGTTATTACTGGTTGTTCTTTATTGACAGTTCATATTGTTACTGGTTGTTCTTTATTGACAGTTCATATTGTTACTGGTTGTTCTTTATTGACAGTTCATGTTGTTACTGGTTGTTCTTTATTGACAGTTCATATTGTTACTGGTTGTTCTTTATTGACGGTTCATATTGTTACTGGTTATTCTTTATTGACAGTTCATATTGTTACTGGTTGTTCTTTATTGACAGTTCATATTGTTACTGGTTGCTAGGATAGAACCTGTGCCACATGCGGTAGTTATTTTGTTTTCTTTGAAAGCTGAATCAGAAGTATTTCTACCTTTTATTGACTCGAATTTCTCAAGAAGTATATTATCTGCATTTTAAATGATATATTTTACAATATTTTCTTTTATTTGGAAATGCTTTCAATTTTCAGAAAATATAGCTGGCGATTTAAAAAACAGGCCCTAATGCAGTAGCAAATGGGAAATTGACCATCGAACCAATAAAATCGATAAAATAAATTAGTTACAAATTTATTTATTTATTTTCGATGACGGGATGCGAAATGGGAACCCTCGGATTCATAATCCGGTCCAATAAACTCTCGGCCACGTCTTGACATTTTGGTGACAAGAGATCAAGAAGTAAGCATTAAGGCAAGAGGGGGGGGGGATTGCAATAGCCGAAAGGAAGTTGAAGGTAACGTGATAGGCCTTAATGACTAGAACCTTCTTGAAAGTTAAGGAAACGACGAGAACGATATATGTATGATATGAATTTTTCTGTGTTCAGAACGTTTTATAGAAAGAATATATGACACTCCTATAATAAATGTAAATGTCAAGAAAATTTCTACTTACTATGACAGAAGAGTAAGAACTGTGAAAATCCTGTTGACGTTTTCTACGAAATGTGTAAAACTCAACTTTTCAATATTTTAAAGCAACACAGTACTGTAAGTACTGGATAACAGACACTCAGGTATTGACCAATGAAGTAAAGGAGTAAAATAATCACTCGCCTAGCTTTGTGATAAGAAAAGCCGACTATACACAGTATCAGTTCTGTTTCCAAAAGATAATGGATCGGTTATTACTTTGATTTAGTTTGAGAACTTGACGGAGTTAGTTTGAGAATTCAGCAGAGTTAACCAATGAAACATGGCTAACGCTCTAGGTTAAATAAACACTAAATATATAAAATCTGTGTGTGTGCTTTCGTATAAAAAATATTGAATAGATCCATTGACAGAAACTCACTTATGAACTAATTTTCATGACTTATATGTATATTTCTCACAAAAATAGATATATTAAGCTTATATATACATAGACAGAAAGACCGAAATGTTTCTTGTTTTATCATTTTACAGTTCGCAGACTGATATTGTACCTAATTTTATTTATCTTCTATGAGTTAGAATGCTGATTTTAAGAACGACCAACCTTCTAAAGGACAGGTGTAGGAGTAGAAAAATTACCCATCATTCCCTCATTCACTGATCGAGCTAGCCTCGTCAGCAGTGCATAATATAAACATGCGATGTTTGATAAATCATAGTTAGTAACTAGCTGGAGTACCCGTCCCCTGGACAGAAGTTATGTAAATTCATGATTAATGAAAGGTTATCTTAGGACCTGAAAATTTGCTTCCCCTATATGTAATTGTAAAAAAACGCCCATAAAAGAACACAAAATGTAAAACTGAAAATTTGTATGTACCCTGCATGGACCTAATTTTGGTGAAGATCCATTCATACCCTGCGAAGTAGTTACATGGACAGACAACGGACAGTACTATTATATTTAAACAGATTTAACAATGTCTGAAGTACATAACAAAGATAAATATGTTTAATTTGATGTACTGTCGTTTGGCTTTTAAGTATGAAATAGAGTAGGCTTAAATTTGTTGAATTATTTACAAGTGATACAACATATACTATACTTTAGAACGCACAACACTGCTACGAGTATGATTACATTTGTCTATTGAGTTTTATTTTTTTATTCAGTGATTCCAGAGTTTACAGTTGAAGTTTCATGTAACTTCAAACACACTTAATTTTATAGTATTCGTCAGGTCGACAGAGCAGAGAACATCGGCATTGTCTGTTGCTCGCTCTGCTAATCTCGTCTCTTTGTTTCAAAGCGTATTTTAAATCAAATTGCTAATTTAAATACAATTATCTTTCCAACACTTCATTTTGTTTTTGTTGTTGTTTTGAAAATAACGGGCTGTAAAAGTCATTTTCAGCTTTTGTCATAATTAAAAAATGGAATTTAAACATATCAGGAACATAAAAAACCGTTTTAATCATTGCGTTGAATGATTGATATAGTTTGTCTTTTAGTTTAATTATCAGTTTTAGAAATAAACAACCGCTAATCGTAACTGTAAGCCTTTGTTTAGGCTTAGTGTGATGCTTTAAGATGATTAGTTTTGGCGGGATCTGGAAACACACTCAAGAAAAGATCGAACAGAGGTTCAAAGGACCGCCTAGGTGGCGGTATCTATTGTTACACTTAGCTTCGAGAGAGAGAGGTGTTCGTTGCGGTAATCTATGATAAGTGGAAAGTTCTCGATGAAGTTTCTATATGAGATTCCCACAGCCCGGTGTCTGATAACAAAGACAAGCTTCTGGAATTATGTCATACTGATTAAGACTTCAACAGAAGCTTGGGAGAAAACAAATAACACAAAGTTTGTTTAGTTTTCCCAGATGATTGAAATGTAAGATTTACAAAAGAAGATTTTAGTTTTAAATAAAATCAAAAATGAGAAAATTATTTGATATTTGCCGTGAAAGAAAAAAAAACTAAAACGTCGAATTGAACAATCCTTTCATTCTGTATATTGAAGATTACAGACTAAGCCTAACATATACACATATAAAATAAAAGGCTTTTTAACAGTTTAGGTAGGATGTTATCAGAGGTACGCGTCAGTTTTATTTTTAAGATTTTCTCGAACTATAAATGTGAGTCGAGCTGTGATTTACCAACTGAAATGCTAAAAATTTGGATCGATATACAATGATCTAAGTTATAAAAAGAGCACAACTTTGGACTCATGCTATCAGTTTTAAAAATGTAGACTAATTTTATCCGTTTTGATGTATAAATTATCAAGAAATAAGAAGAAGGGCGAAAGCACTGTTACTGATATAAGCACTATCTTATACACATCTACTTTAATGTTTACAATCTCATCCTCTCTCTTCTCACCACTTATACTCGTGCGAGGCTCGAGACTTTAGTTCTATTGTTTGGTTTAAACGTTCTTGTCATATTTTCTCTTCGTTGTTCTTCAGTTCTAAGGCTTCTTCGACTATCCTTTCGATAAAGAAATGTTATTGGTGTTTCGAAATATTGTTGATAGGTTTTTCTTTTCAATAAAAGCGTCGCCTACGTGTTTTTTCTTCAAATGAACGACATTTTGAGGAACTGTTCTATAGATTATTTACTGACTTACAATTGTTCTGAATGTCTTTTCGTACTTACAACACTTTAAATAAAATTCTTGCAGTAACATGCAGTACTGTTTTTTAACAACACAAGATTGTGGTGACAGAAAATATAATTAAACATTGATCTATTCAAGGTTTTCAAAACATGATATCGACGTTATATCAAGGTGAAAGGTCTACTACTGACTGTAAAAAAACAGTACCTTCTCATTGATTTTTTTACCTTGCAGTTTTGTTTTACATATTCACAGAATAAGCATTTAACATTTTAATAAATGTTTAAAGGTTTTATTTATTAATAATTATTAAGCCTAATTTATTATTGCTGACCTTACATTATCACAACGAAGCCAATAGTAACATTACAGTAACCCCAACAGAAACACCATCACAGCAACGACAACAGAAACATCGTCACACCACCGTCTCCAAAATGTCATCACGGCAATGACAATAACAACACCATCAAAACAACGACAACAGAAACGTCATCATAGAGACCTCAAAGGAAATATCATCACAGCAACTACAACAGAAACGACATCACAGCAGCAACACAACAAAATACAGCAGACTAAGATATTGCCCAAATTACCCAAAAAAAAGCTCCTTCATTCCCATACTTAGAATATTGAATAAGTTATTACATTTGATAATACAGCAGACTAAGATATTGCCCAAATTACCCAAAAAGAAAAGCTCCTTCATTCCCATACTTAGAATATTGAATAAGTTATTACATTTGATAATTAGAATAACAAAAATAACAATAATCAAAATTCTAGAATATATTTTGTGACAAATCCTAGAAATAATCATATGATGTGGAATTAATAGCCACAGTGCAACAAAGTGTTCAATATTACTACTGTTACGTCTCCGTTTGTTAATTGATTTTCCGTAAATTCGTTCCGACGAAACTTTAGCTACACAAGTCCTCTCTTAAATAAAACTGGTTTACTCTTTCCGAATACAACTTTACGATACACTCAACTTCAACAGTCACGCTATAACAAACTATAATTCACGTCTCACGAGCTCGACTTCAACAATACGTCTCTCTCTGACTGCAGTTCAATTACTCATTGCCTACACGCATTGTCCCGTCACGTTGTGACCATCCTATATATACCAGCCTACCCCCAATCTAGTAAATGCTAGGGCATTCACGAAGGAACAGGATATTTCTAGAAAGCAGGTGGCGTGACACTAGGCACGTGACCTCGATGACGCAACACTGCCCCTCCTTAATATTGTTCGTCCCGAACAATAACCACATACAATAAACCAATAACAATTAACAATAACTTAATTAAATGTACAGAATTACAAACACAAAATTACAATTCAACAAAGTCTCTTAATTTTACGGGACGTATCTTCTTCTGTACTGGTCTCCGTCTCGTTGGTTTCTGCTTCACGTGGGGTTCATCTGCTTCATCAGTAAATGTCCTTTCGTCAGTAACAGTCACATCAGTGGTAGTAACTTCATGAAGAGCTTCACCGTTTCTCTTCTCAAAACTGAATAGAGTTTCTTCTTCGACGGTGGCTTCTTCAGGTGGCACGTCTTCAGCAGCGTCTTTTGTTCTGTTGTTCACTTCGTCCCAACTGAAACGTCCTGGACCGTGATAACACCAAAGCCTGTTGGCATGCACCACTTTTGGCTTACCTCGCCGACCACATTTTACCCGGAAAGTCACGTCTGAGAGACGATCCACTATGTCATATGGGCCTTCCCATGCAGAAGACAACTTAGGAGACTTCCCTTTGGTCTTCCTGGGATTATACAACCATACCTTGTCTCCTGGTACAAAGCTGACTTCAGTAGATTTCTTATCATAAGTTAACTTCGTCTGCTGATTCGATGTTTTCAAGTTTGAATGCACTTGATGGTGAATATCATCCAACACTTTCACAAACTCTGACACATTCACAGGCAACTCTTCATAAGGTGGGCATCTTTGGGTCCCCTTTTAGCACTACATGTACTGCATGTTCGGCACCATTCTTCCACATCTCGCCTCATACCTATCCAATAAAATCTTTGTCGTAGATGACTCAATGTCTTCTTAATTCCGAGATGTCCCCCTGATAAACTATCATGGGATTGACGCAGCACAACTTCCCGTAACTTCCTCGGTATAACTGTTTGCCAAGTCGTCAATTTCCCATCTGTAGTTTCCCATCTCCGGACAAGAATACCATTTTCAAGCTTCAACTGGTCCCATTGCGCCCAATAGTCCTTTGTCACAGGGCTTAGACTAGACACCTTCTCCCAAGCAGGGCGCACAACACTCGCTTTTACAAAATCAATCATTGACTTCAAATCCTGGTTATTCTCCTGCTCTGCTTTAATATTTATACCTAGTTGCACTTCACCATCATCAACTTCTTCAGTGGCTTGACTTCAGCTTGATGG